GATATCCCCGGCCTCCGTCACCATCAACGCGATGGTCTTCGAGACCTCCGCGGATTCGCCGTTCTGGCAGTAGATCTTCGCCAAAAACCCCGGGTCGAAGGGGTTGGTGTAGTCCACCACAGCTTTATCGGTTTGAACGGTGCAAAGGAGCTCATTTTCGCCGACGCTATCCCCGATTTGCTTCTTCCATTCCACGACTGTGCCGGAGTCCATGGAAGGTGAAAGCGCAGGCATGAAGACTGGTATGAACTCAACTAGCCTTCGAAATGTATGCCGCATCATTTTCGCTGAACTTTAACTATTAAGTGATATTGTATTTAATAAGGTAAACGTTACTTATAACTTATAGACAGTTACAGACAGAAATGTAAGTGTGTGTGTGTTGAGCATTAATACAAAATCCATGAGTAAAAGAATAGGTAAAAAGAGAAATAAGACTTACATGAAAGGTTTCGGAAATAGATAAGGAAGTAGATTTCTACTTAGTTTTGTAACCAATCAAAATCATTCCCTCCCCAAAATCAAATTGAGTAGTTTCTATTTTTGGTTACTCCTACGATACTAGCCAGTTTTGGTGCAGTGGTTAAGGTACACAGGAACCAAAATTCTACATTGGAATCTCACACCAAACCCCGTTTCCCTTGTGTGTGGATTCATTAAATTCAACACAAACAAAACAAAAAACATTAATCCTTATCGTTGAATATGAGGCAGGGGTTTTGTTTATTCACCCCCACCGCCTATTGCCTTTGGGGGGGGGGGAGAACCTTCGGGTCGATCCTACCCCCTTAAATGAGAAGCAAAAATATGATAATGACCACCAAGACCAGCACGACCGTGTAGAACTTCCCGTTCTTGCTTTCCCGGAGCAATTGGATAACGCGCTGGTTTTGGCGGCGGCTGGTGTTGGTGGTGTTGGTGATGCCGTCGTGCAATTGGCCCAGCATCGCGTCGTGCTCCTGCAGGGTGGTGCCGATCTCCACCGCGTAGTGTTTGGTGTTCATCACGGACTCGTGCAGTTGGTCCAGCAGGGTGTTCTGCTCCTCCTGCCGTAGCGCGCTGCGGGTGATTGGCGCCTGCATCGCCGCCGAAGAGAAGCCCAAGCGAGAACCCCCAAGCTGAGTCTTCCCAAAAAAGAGGAAGAAGAAGAAGAAGGAAAAGAGAAGGGAAGGGAGGACAGGGCACTTGAAGGGAGGGGAAGTAGGGTTGTGCTATGGCGTATTGGGGTGTTCCTACTGGGTTAGTGGGCGGTGCGTCAGTTTCGTAAGGTTGCGAAAGAACGAACTTGGGTAGGGTGATAAGGGGGGAGGGGGGGGGGGGGGAGGAAAAATGTATAGGAGGTTATAAAGTCAAACCGGGCATTTTCTATTGGGGTGGGAGCGCACAGCTTGCTTGGGTTAAGCTTAAAAATGGGTACTACTTCTTTGTTTCATAATCCAATTTAACTACCGCTTTTTTAAATGGTCGCCATTGAGGGCGAAGCCGACATAATGTTATGCACCATCGACCCCGTTGGAGTTCGTCACACAAAGGGAATGAAAAAACTGGTTGTCAAATATAAAGGAAATAATAAGGGTGCGAGAAAATAGTCACCATCGTTTATTCCAATATCACGAAGCTACATGGTGTTTGTTGACCGATATAAATATTATTATATACAAAGTATTATTTATTCAATATAGATGCATGTATTTTTAGTTTTTTTAATTCTGTTATCTGTTTCAAGATCAGTGAAAGCGAGGGCCACGGGTAACAAACTCAAACACGTTTTCATCCCGTTGCCGTTTGCCCGTCATCCCCGCACGATTCCCCTGGGCCCCATCTTCCGCGCTTCCTCTCCCAATCAGGGACAACTGCTGTACAGGAGCACTTTGCTCCAACTCCAGCTCGTTGTTCGTAGGTGTAAAAAGGGGTAGCCCACACGGCACCGGTGGCTGCGCGGTTTCAGATTGTACGGCCCCGGCAAAGTTTCCATCCGGAAAGCACCCCATCACCCCGGGAGGGTTCCCCGGCTGCGGGAGCGAGGCCATGACCTCGTCCGCGGCCTGCACGCGATGTTTTTTTCGCATTGGCCCCTCCTCCGGCCCTTCCTCGTCCTGCCGTTTTCGATCGCCGTGGAGGATGGTGTGGGGCGCCGGGGTGGGATACCACGTTAGCGCCAACGGCACCGGCGCGAGGACGTCGTCGACGGTGAGGTGATGAAGAGGGTTCTCTGACATCCCGAAGCCGACCCCCGCGGCCGCGCGCATCGCGGCCTGCAGGGTTCGCGGGGATAAAGGGGTCGCGGGCTCCCCGTTCTGCTCTTGCTGACGCCGCCGCCGCAGCGCCATCGTGACCGGATCCACGCCGGTCAAAACCGACAGCGGATCCTGCCGAGGCCAGCCCACCACCGACGCGCTAAACCTAAGCCCTTCCAGCCCACCTTGCCGCCACCCCGCTTGCCCGTCGTTCTCTTCTTCGTTATCAAGGATGGGTCTGTCCGGCCTCACGGGGCCTTCTAAAGTCGCTTCGGTGGGGTGGAGGCCCCCACAGATCGGGTACCTCCCCTCCCCTCCCCCCTCCGGAAGACCACCGGGGAATGGCGTGAAGGACGGCTGGAAAGGATAGATGCGGTAAGAGGTGTTACTAGCGTGGGGGACCGTCGGGTCGAATTGTGGTGGGATGACTTCATCGCCCGAGACGATCCCATTGTTACCATAGCTTGCGGATTCATTTGACAAAGAATGCGGCTGCATGATTCTAAATTCATCTATGAATGGATGTTTATGCCAGTAATTATGTGTGTGTGCAATATAGATTTCTTACTGATATCTGTGGGTTTTCTTTCCTCCCTCCCCCATGAAAGAAACTACGTGGATATGCAGAAGAAAACATACAAACCAGAACATAAAATCCAAGTATTCTGAAGCTATCCTACATCGCATAGCCTGAATCAAGACACGAAAACTGTCCGAAGGGTTTCACACACCACTTCCACGACTATTGTTTTATTTTTTCTCTTTACCACACAATTCAAAAAATTAGACAACCCCCATCATGAGGCTGATAAAATGCGGAGAAGAACCCTTTCTTCATTGTCTTTATGATACGCGTGTACGTAAGAGGGATCCCTTGCGACATGAACTACCTTGTAGAAATACCGGCTGACCTAGAATATTTATACACCGCACTCCTCTCCCTCTTCCTCTACATATCATTCTGTTGCATGCATTCTAATCAACCGTCTCACTATCGTGTTCACCTCTAGGCTTTTTAAAATGGTTAAGCGTGTTCGGCCGTACCCTAGAGGGGGGGTTGTGTGTTTCGCTATTTCTATGGACACCAATACACCTCAAGTTCCCCAAGCTCCCGCACCACCGCGGCCAGATTGCCGTCGCCGGCCATCGCAACACACCCTGACGCGCAGCCCCTTCTCACCACCTCGGCCTCATTATCTATATTCTCACCGTTGGGGCTTTGCGGGTTGGCTAGAATGCCCTCCCACGCCTCGTCCTCGGCTTGGCGGGTCCAGTAAACGACGGATCCGTCAAGGGCGCAAGTCAGAAAGGCCATGGCGTGGGGCGCGTAGATCCCTGTGATGGCGACCTTCACCCCGTTCTGCACGATCTCGGTGAGATTTCCACGCCACGCGTCGTCCGCGGAGGCGCGAGGGCCGCGACGGCGAAGGTCCCACACCACCACATCCCCCTCCTCTGTCGCGGCGAAGAGAAAGGCATCACGCGCGCAGCAGGCCGTAAGGCGGTTGTATGGCGACCATCGCCAGCTCCGGCGGACGGCCCCAGTGCCCTCGATGACCTCTCCCTTCGCCGCCGTCTTTTTCATCGTTTCCGCCCTTTCCAGATTTCCCCCGCTGCCCTCGACGTCGATCTCGACGACGGCGTGATGGCAGACGAGCAGGACCCTCTTCCCCCCCCAGCCCGGCATCGGCACCACCTCGACCACCTCAAACCCCGAGAGGACAGGGAGGGCCAGGGTGAGCTCGCACTCCGCGCACGCCGGGC